AATACAGTGAAAGACAAGATTGTGTAGTTCAGGATAGGTCTAGTATACAGTCAATGTAAAAAGTAATGTGTGCAGTATGCAACATCACAGTGCTAAAGTGAACAATACAAACCTCCACATACTCGTGCCGCAGCCTTTTGACCCTCTCTGAATTCCGCTCAAAAGGCACTCGATAAAGTTGTTTCATTTGAACCTGATGTCTTTTCAGGATGCGTGCCAGTGTTGACTGAGAGACCTGATGGACATTATTGAAAATGGCATGGTCACCGATAATGTTGGCTTGTAGTTCTCTGAGCCTGATAGCATTATTGGCCAAAACCATGTTTATTATCTCTCTCTTGTTCTTGCGTGAATATGGGCCCCCTTCCTCCTTGTTGTTCCCGACCCTCAATCCTATGTAGAAAATAATACATGTAACTTACTGTACAATGTCACAGGAAGGGGTATCACAAGTGCTGATATGGTGCATACAATAAGCGGCTGATTACTGTAACTGTAGACAGATCTTCTTTTACCTGTTTTCCTGTCGAAAAGTCCTTATGACAGATGCCACTGTATATCTGCTAAGATTTGGCTGAACTCTCAGTCCAGCCTCCCTCAGCGTCAATCCGTGGTTCACAACATGGTCCACTAGTGTTGCACAAATGTCATTTGATAAGTTTGGTCCTCTTTTTCTTTGTGCACGTTCTCCTCCTGCTTCAGGTCTTCCTTGACCTCTGGCTCTGGCTCGGCCTCTGCCTCTTCCTCTACCTCCTTCTCCTCCTCCTCTGTGTACTCCTCCTCTCACCCTCACTCTTCTTCTGACTCCTTCCATTTTGGTTGAAGGCAGGTGAACCTACCTGCTGCATTTTTATAGTGCTTAAACCTGATTGGTGTGTCTACAATTTAGCAATCATGTGTTTGTGCACCTGATGGCTGTGTTTAACAGATTTGCTCATAGGTGTGGTAATTTGACAGTCAGTGCTTTGGAATTGCAAGGAAGTGACATCATGATATACTTCTGTGTCTGATGTATACAAGTGTGTTAAGTGTTTTGCAAATCCCTGTGTGTAATGTTTTGCAAATAGTGTGAAGCTGACAATGTGCTTACAGTTGTGCAAATCTAGCCTTGTGTTTTGCTCCTTGAGTGTAAGGTTTTGCTAATTGTGGGAAAAGTTTAATTTTAGTGTGTAAGCAATCGTAAAAAACTGTAACTCATCAAAACAGTAGGCTACAGTTCCCTTGACATGTCATAGGCCTATTTGAAGTCCTGTCTTGTGACTGTCGAATTTGTATAGCGCCTCACAATCATCACACATAACATAGCTGGCACTGCTATCATCCTCTTTTACCACTTCACCAAAACTTTTCCAAACATTACTTTTCTGGCCCTCCCTTCTCTTTATTTTAAACTCTCCTTTTGCAGCTTTTGTCTTATTGAATTAAACTTTGACAATGTCCTTTTTGCCTCTGTGGTTTGACATGAGCTTTTTCTGCCCTTTCCCAAAGGCATTATTTGGCGATTGGCTATGTAGGCTATTTGGCACGTACAGTTAAGCCCTAAAGTTTAGGCTTATGCACTAATAACAGATAGCCTAAAATAATGAAAGAAAATCCTCAATGTAGCCTATATAAATTGCACAAGAATTATACATTTATGGATTTATTGTTTCTTTATATTCAATGAACCCACCTGCCCTTCAGCCACATAATATTTCATGACCCTAATCCCGTCCACCCTGCGGATATAGCTGCATGGACTGCGGGTTATGAGTCAACCCGCGGATCACTAGTAGGTACCATATAGGGGCGGCAGGTAGCTTAGTGGGTAAGAGCTTAGTGGGTAAGAGCGTTGTGCCAGTAACCGAAAGGTCGCTGGTTCTAATCCCCGAGCCGACTAGGTGAAAAATCTGTCGATGTGCCCTTAAGCAAGGCACTTAACCCTAATTGCTCATGTAAGTCGCTCTGGATAAGAGCGTCTGCTAAATGACGTAAATGTAAATATAGCTGAATCTATATTGATATAGAAAATGTAGCCTTGTTACTGCCACCTGCTGTGTTTGCATGCATGTAATTTATATGTGTCTACGTGTGAGTGTCAATGTGTGTCTCATTTCGGTAAATGCATCCTAAATCTTTGATTGTTCAGGCTTCGTTCACACTTTGAGACTGCATTTCTTAATGTGTCACAGATTCTTGAGCCACCTCGCTGTATCCTTATATACACTAACATTCTCTTCTCTAAGTGTCTTGAGCTCTTCAATTCCTACTTTGTTGTGCAAACACCATCATGCAGTGCACAATTATGCAGCAATACAGCTAGTCAGTATCCATTTACAGCAAACAAATAGATATTTACAGGGCATTGTATTAGATACAGGTAAGAGTAAATCAGGCATATTGTTCTGTGAACTCCCCGAATTATCAATAAGAGAAAATTGACCTTTACTTAGATCAAATAAGCGGTTTTAGTCAAAATCCTAATACAGGTGTGTGTAATATACAGTGTGTGTAATGTTCTTGTAGATACAGTGATGTATACAGTCAGGGAAAAAAGTATTTGATCCCCTGCTGATTTTGTACGTTTGCCCACTGACAAAGTAATGATCAGTCTATAATTTTAATGGTAGGTTTATTTGAACAGTGAGAGACAGAATAACAACAAAAAAATCCAGAAAAACGCATGTCAGAAATGTTAGAAATGGAATTTCATTTTAATGAGGGAAATAAGATTTCTGGCTCCCAGGTGTCTTTTATACAGGTAACGAGCTGAGATTAGGAGCACACTCTTAAAGGGAGTGCTCCTAATCTCAGTTTGTCACCTGTATAAAAGACACCTGTCCACAGAAGCAATCAATCAATCAGATTCCAAACTCTCCACCATGGCCAAGACCAAAGAGCTCTCCAAGGATGTCAGGGACAAGATTGTAGACATACACAAGACTGGAATGGGCTACAAGACGATTATTCGCAAATGGAAGAAACACAAAATATTGTCAATCTCCCTCGGCATGGGGCTCCATGTAAGATCTCACCTCGTGGAGTTGCAATGATCATGAGAACGGTGAGGAATCAGCCCAGAACTACACGGGAGGATCTTGTCAATGATCTCAAGGCAGCTGGGACCATAGTCACCAAGAAAACAATTGGTAACACATTACGCCGTGAAGGACTGAAATCCTGCTGCGCCCGCAAGGTCCCCCTGCTCAAGAAAGCACATATACCTGCCCGTCTGAAGTTTGCCAATGAACATCTGAATGATTCAGAGGGGAACTGGGTGAAAGTGTTGTGGTCAGATGAGACCAAAATCGAGCTCTTTGGCATCAACTCAACTCGCCGTGTTTGGAGGAGGAGGAATGCTGCCTATGACCCCAAGAACACCATCCCCACCGTCAAACATGGAAGTGGAAACATTATGCTTTGGGGGTGTTTTTCTGCTAAGTGGACAGGACAACTTCACCGCATCAAAGGGACGATGTACCATCAAATCTTGGGTGAGAATCTCCTTCCCTCAGCCAGGGCATTGGAAATGGGTCGTGGATGGGTATTCCAGCATGACAATGACCCAAAACACACAGCCAAGGCAACAAAGGAGTGGCTCAAGAAGAAGCACATTAAGGTCCTGGAGTGGCCTAGCCAGTCTCCAGACCTTAATCCCATAGAAATTCTGTGGAGGGAGCTGGTTCGAGTTGTCAAACGTCAGGCTCGAAATCTTAATGACTTGGAGGAGATCTGCAAAGAGGAGTGGGGCAAAATCCCTCCTGAGATGTGTGCAAACCTGGTGGCCAACTACAAGAAACATCTGACCTCTGTGATTGCCAACAAGGGTTTTGCCACCAAGTACTAATTCATGTTTTGCAGAGGGGTCAAATACTTATTTCTCTCATTAAAATGCAAATCAATTTATAACATTTTTGACATGCGTTTTTCTGGATTGTTTTGTTGTTGTCATTCTGTCTCTCACTGTTCAAATAAACCTACCATTAAAATTATAGACTGATCATGTCTTTGTCAGTGGGCAAACGTACAAAATCAGCAGTGGATCAAATACTTTTTTCCCTCACTGTAAGTGTGTATGTTATAATTGAACTGAGAGCTTGTGAGGTACAGTAGAGAAGCCATGAGAGCCAGCCAGCTGTGGAAGACAGACAGGTCTTCTCTTGCTTTGCTGCAATGTTTGGGACAGTTAGTCAACGTATCCCAACATGCCGAGAGAACGGCTCTGATCGAAATGCAAAGGAGTGTTTCGAATGTGTAGACACACCCTCACACAAAAGGAAACATGCAGTAGTCAATACAAATATTTGATATTATAATAATGTATATCACTTTAGAGTTTTGCCCTCTTCAATATCTCAACAACAGCTCCTCATGCCCTCTGAATGTCCTTGGAATACTGCTTCTCTCAGACATGTTGTGTTTCATGGCCCAATTGTAAGGATATTACATGACAGGATTGCATTGTCACTTTACAGCAACATTGAGATTTCACCAAGAATGTTTCATATTCTATGATTTATATATTGACCACTAGTCTAGATTCTAAAAGCATATAGCACTCAAGTGTTTCCCTCTCTCTCTCTCTCTCTCTCTCTCTCTCTCTCTCTCTCTCTCTCTCTCTCTCTCTCTCTCTCTCTCTCTCTCTCTCTCTCTCTCTCTCTCTCTCTCTCTCTCTCTCTCTCTCTCTCTCTCTCTATCACATACACACACACACACACAAATTGAGGCCTTGGGCACAGACATCAAAAAAACTTTATAGTTTCCAATATCTCTGTATAAGTTTGCCCTCATGTTTGTGTTATGTGCAGGGCAAGGCCATAAGGGCTGCAGTGCAGAATGCACCCTAGCATTCTCTTCTGTAGACCTGAACATACAGTGAAATAAGGTGAAATAACATTTAAAAAAACAGTTACCTATTTTGGTTGGATATCTTCCCCAGTTGATGACATTGCTGTAGTGGATGACAGCTGAGAGAAAGAGGGGTTCTGTGTCCAGATCAGCTGTGACAGCCTAGTGTTACCATGGCTCTGGAGAGTTTCAACAAGCTCTTCCACAAACTGAGGGAGGCCCATGAGCGAGAGGTCGAAGGTGAGTGAGCAATCCTCCTACAGTATCAGTGTTGCTGATACTCTGAGACATGAGTCAAAACAAAAGAGTGAATGGACTAACAACTTTATTATGTCTTTGTAACAGCAAATAATGTATTTTGTTTTGGAATGCAAAGCACTTAATCATGCAAGTACAGTGCATTCAGAAAGTATTCAGACCCCTTGACTTTTTCCACATTTTGTTACATTACAGCCTTATTCTAAAATTGATTAAATTGTTGTTGTTTTTCTGTGTGTAGTTTGATTAGTTTTTTTATTTATTTATTTTAGAATAAGGTTGTAACATAACAAATTGTGTAAAAAGTCAAGGGGTCTGAATACTTTCGAATGCACTGTATAGCCATGTGGTTTTCGGAAATGTTCACGAGTCAGATGTGTTTTTTGACACGTGAAGTTTCATATGTACATTTGTCACATGAAAAAAAAACAACACACATTTATTTTTCACCACTTCCAGCAACATCTGGTCTCCCATCCAGGGACCGACCAGGACCAACCCTGCTTAGCTTCAGAGGCAAAACAGCAGTGGGATACAGGGTGGTATGTTGATAGAATGAATGAGCCAATACTTGCAACTGGAAAAAAGGCAGTGAACGCAAAGGCCTAGGTAACATAACCAAAGATAGGGAATTATGCAGGAAAGAGGGAGGCGTTTAATTTAATAGCATTATCATTAAAAACATTTTTTGCAAAAAAGTCATTTGCATTTTTTGCAAAAAAGTCATTTGCTCACTCTGGAGTCAGACGTTAACAGAGTGGGTAATTTAGCCTATTAAACACAAAAACAAGTGAGAATTAGGAAGATCTGATGTGATTTTTTTTTTCTTGCCATCTTCACCCATATTTTATATTATTTTTGCAAAGAAAAAAGTTGTGTGAAGTTCCAGTAGTTAGCTACACCACCACATGGCAAATGTTTTTTATTACCTACTGAAAATACTACCAAGATTTGAATTGAGTTCAACTACCAACAAGCTACTGCGAAATGTTGTTAAATTACTAGTTGAACTACATATAGTTCATTACTCCACAACACTAGATATTAATGACACAAAAGTAACTCATTCACCAGAGGATTGCACTATATAATAACACTATTACACTATTATAGGTGTTTAAAGTGGCAATCCTTAGTGGAAACATTAACAAAGTGCCCTCCCCGCAACAGTTTCGGTAAAAAGGGATGGGGCTGGAAAAATGCAACTACTCTCAAATCCATAGACTACGATTAACGGACTGACCATCCATGATATCAAAAATCTTGTTTATCCATGTTTTTAGGCTATACAGTGTTTGTTTACATATACTTAGTTTACAGACATTGGAATAAATGTGGAGTTTTCTTACATGTGAAACTCTCAGTTAGATCTTCACTTTCACATCTGGAATTGCAAGTTCACATGTGAAAAACAATCACGTGAAAGTTTTTCATTAATGAAACTGCAAATTAGATTTTTACATGTGATTGTTTTTCACATGTAAACTTGCAATTCCACATGTGAAAGTGAGATTTCTATATACAGTACCAGTCAAAAGTTTGGACACACCTACTCATTCAAGGGTTTTTCTTTATTTTTACTATTTTCTACATTGTAGGATAATAGTGAAGACATCAATACTATGAAATAGCACATGTAGTAACCAAAAAAGTGTTAAACAAATCAAAATTTATTTTATATTTGAGATTCTTCAAAGTAGCCACCCTTTGCCTTGATGACAGCTTTGCACACTTTTGGCATTCTCTCAACCAGCTCCATGAGGTAGTCACCTGGAATGCATTTAAAGTAACAGGTGTGCCTTGTTAAAAGTTAATTTGTGGAATTTCTTTCCTTCTTGAGCCAGGCAGTTGTGTTGTGACAAGGTAGGGGGGGTATACAGAAGATAGCCCTATTTGATAAAAAAAAACAAGTCCATATTATGGCAAGAACAGCTCAAATAAGCAAAGAGAAACGACAGCACATCATTAATTTAAGACATGAAGGTCAGTCAATACGGAAAATCTGAAAGTTTCTTCAAGTGCAGTCGCAAAAACCATCAAGCGCTATGATGAAACTGTCTCTCATGAGGACTGCCACAGGAAAGGAAGACCCAGAGTTACCTCTGCTGCAGAGGATAAGTTCATCAGAGTTACCAGCCTCAGAAATTGCAGCCCAAATAAATGCTTCACAGAGTTCAAGTAACAGACACATCTCAACATCAACTGTTCAGAGGAGACTGCGTGAATCAGGCCTTCATGGTCGAATTGCTGCAAAGAAACAATTACTAAAGGACACCAATAAGAAGAACAGACTTGCTTGGGCCAAGAAACATGAGCAATGGACATTAGACCGGTGGAAATCTGTCCTTGAGATTTTTGGTTCCAACCGCTGTCTTTGTGAGACGCAGAGTAGGTGAACAGATTATCTTTGCATGTGTGGTTCCCACCGTGAAGCATGGAGGAGGAGATGTGATGGTGTGGGAGTGCTTTGCTGGTGACACTGTCTGTGATTTATTTAGAATTCAAGGCACATTTAACCAGCATGGCTACCACAGCATTCTGCAGCGATACGCCATCCCATCTGGTTTGCGCTTAGTGGGACTATAATTTGTTTTTCAACAGGACAATGACCCAACACACCTCCAGGCTGCGTAAGGGCTATTTGACCAAGAAGGAGAGTGATGGAGTGCTGCATCAGATGACCTGGCCTCCACAATCACCCGACCTCAACCTATTTGAGATGGTTTGGGATGAGTTGGACTGCAGAGTGAAAGAAAAGCAACCAACAAGTGCTCAGCATATGTGGGAACTCCTTCAAGACTGTTGGAAAAGCGTTCCAGGTGAAGCTGGTTGAGAGAATGCCAAGAGTGTGCAAAGCTGTCATCAAGGCTAGTTTGAAGAATCTCCAATATAAAATATATTTTGATTTGTTTAACAATTTTTTAGTTACTACGTGATTCCATATGTTTTATTTCATGGTTTTGATGTCTTCACTATTATTCTACAATGTAGAAAATAGTAAAAAATAAATAAAAACCCTTGACTGGTACTGTATATGATACTGTATATGGGATATATTTTTTTATATTTCATGTGAAAATATTTCATGTTAAAACACAACTTTCAAATGTGAAACTGCAATTCACATGTGGGGTGAAAACATGTGATTCTCCTCACATGTGAAAAGGTGGTGTTAACATGTGAACTCTAAATGTAATACATGTGAAAATATGGTTTCACATGTAAAATCTAAGCTCAAAATGTGAAAACAGCTGAAATGTGAAGGTTTCTCTATGCTCGCTCTCTCATGTCTCTGATAGCAGAGCATCCTCGAGTAGAGAGGAGAGAGATCTATAGAGAGATCCGCTCGCTAAGATAGAGAGGAGGAAGACGAGAGCTCCCTGATCGTATATCGTCATCTATCTTCTCTCTCTCTCGTCTCTCTCTCTCTCCTCCTCTCTCTCTCTTCTCTCTCTCTTTCTGTCTCTCTCTCTCGCTCTAGGATGGCAAGAGACATTTCAGGAGCTGACCAATAAAATGGGCTGGTGAGTAAAGCACTTTATTAAAGGTGATATGTTGATATATGGGAGATGTAGTGATGGCAGTTCTTGGTGTTTTACTCTGAGTAGTGATACAAAGCAAATGGAGGTGCTGTTTATCAAGAACCAACAGCTGAAAGAGCACCAGCGGTTACTCACAGAAAACATAAAACAGCTGGAAAACAGGTGGGTCCCTCTGTATGTCTCTGTGTTTGGGTATTCTATATTAGTATTTTTAGCTTAAAGTTTTAAGTTATATTTGTCACATGCACATGTACAGTGAAATTCTTAACTTGCAAGCCCTACCCAACAGTGCTGTATTCAATATCAAAAAAGTATACTAACTAATAAGAAAATATATTTTTTAAACACGAGAAATATAAACATTGTGTGTGTGTGTGCTGTCTTAACAACATCTGTAGCTGAATGTGTGTCAGTGTTTGACCCCCTGGTGACCTCTGTGCTGCAGGTTGAGGGCGGGGCTGTGTGACAGGTGTACTGTCACTCAGGACGTGGCCAAGCGCAGGCAGCAGGAGTATGAGACCTCCCAGATCCAGAGCCTCCATCACATTTCTATCCTGGGTAGCTAGCTAACACATCAACGTCTCCTTCACATGCATCTCAAGCATTGCGGAAAGATCCAACTATAATGCTTATTTTATAGCTACAGTATAGTACTTAAACATTAGCCATGGACTGTGATTTCTTTTGTAGTGGGAGAGATTAACAAAATGAAAAAGGATAACCAGAGATTGCAAGAAGAAATCAGTCATCTGAGAGGAGCACAAGAGTGAGTTATATGCACTGAGTGTACAAAATATTATGAACACCTGCTCTTTCCATAACATAGATTGACCAGGTGAATCCAGGTGAAAGCTATGATCCATTATTGTTGTCACTTGTTAAATCCACTTCAATCAGTGTAGATGAAGGGGATGAGACAGGTTAAAGAAGGATTTATAAGCCTTGAGACAATTGAGACATGGTTTGTGTACATTGCCTTCAGAAATTATTCATACCTGTCACACAGCATGTTGCTGTGGGGGAACCAGTCGAAATCTCTCCGGGTACTCATCGACTCTGGGGCCGATGAGAGCTTTATGGACGCTACCCTGGCGTCCGAGCTGGGCATCCCCACTCAGCCCCTCTCCATTCCCATGGATGTTAGAGCGCTGGACGGGCGCTCTATAGGCCGGGTCACCCACAATACCACCCCCATCAACCTACGAGTATCAGGGAACCACAGCGAGATGATCCAAAGTTCCCGTGGTATTGGGTTTTTATTGGCTCCAGCGACACAACCCCTTTATTGACTGGTCTACTGGTGCCATCATTGGCTGGAACCCGTTCTGCCACGCTCATTGCCTGAAGTCAGCGCAGCCTGCCCCGGGACGTCTTCCTGGGAGCTCGGAAGTTGCCTCGGACCTCTTCGCCATTCCTGCGGATTACCAGGACTTCCGGAAGGTGTTCAGTAAGGCCTGGGCCACTTCTCTTCCGCCCCACCGACCCTACCACTGTGGAATCGACCTTCTCCCAGGCACCACTCCCTCCCGGGGACGACTGTACTTGCTGTTGGGTCCGGAGACCAAGGCTATGGAGACCTACATTGAGGACTCCCTAGCTGCCAGGTTAATCCGTCCTTCTGCCTCCGCCGCCGGCGCAGGGTTCCGCTTTGTGGAGAAGAAGGACAAAACCCTGCGTCCATGCATCGACTACAGGGGCCTCAACGACATCATGGTGAAGAACCGCTACCCACTACCACTCATCTCCTCGGCCTTCGAGAGGCTCCAGGGGGCCAACGTGTTCTCCAAGGTGGACCTATGGAACGCCTACCACCTGGTGCAGACACGGGAGGGGGACAAGTGGAAGAGTGGTCTAAGGCACTGCATCGCAGTGCTAGCTGTGCCACTAGAGATCCTGGTTCGAATCCAAGCTCTGTCATAGCTGGCCGCGACCGGGAGACCCATGAGGCGGCGCTGTCACGATCGTCGTAATGAGTGGACCAAGGCGCAGCGTGAAATGCGTACATCTTTTATTGAGTACTATAACAATAACAAAACAACAAAACGAAACGTGAAGTCCTCGGTCATGAACACAAACCTACACGGAACAAGATCCCACAAAAGACAAGTGCACGACAGGCTGCCTAAGTATGGTTCCCAATCAGAGACAACGAGCCACAGCTGTCTCTAATTGGGAACCACCCCGGCCAACATAGAAACACATAAACTAGAACAAGAACATAGAAAACGAAACATAGAACCTAACACCCAGAAACGAACACATAGAAACTAACACCCTGGCTCAACATTTAAAAGTCCCCAGAGCCAGGGCGTGACATTACCCCCCCCCCCCCCCCCCCCCCCCCCCCCCCCCCCCCCCAAAGGCGCGGACTGCGACCGTGCCAACTAAACCCAACAGGGGAGGGGCCGGGTGGGCATTCCGCCTCGGAAGCGGATCCGGCTCCGGGCGTGACCACCACCCTCTAACTAACCCCCTGTAGCGCCCCTGGTCTGGTCTGGCCCCGCTGGCTGGAGCTGGACTGGACATCGGTGGAGCGGATTGCTTAGGCTCCGGTGTGGAGCAGCTGACCGGTACCTGACCAGGCACCGGTGAAACAGGCACGGGCTGTGCCGGACTGACGACGCGCACCACAGGCTTGGTGCGGGGAGCAGGAATGGGCCGGACCGGGCTGGCGACGCGCACCACTGGCTTGGTGCGGGGAGCAGGAACAGGCCGGACCGGGCTGGCGACGCGCACCATTGGCTTGGTGCGGGGAGCAGGAACAGGCCGGACCTGGCTGGCGACGCGCACCACAGGTTTGGTGCGAGGGCCAGGAACAGGCCGGGCTGGGCTGGCGACGCGCACCACAGGCTTGGTGCGAGGGACAGGAACAGGCCGGGCCGGGCAGGCGACGCGCACCACAGGCTTGGTGCGAGGGGCAGGAACAGGCCGGACCGGGCTGGCGACGCGCACCACAGGCTTGGTGCGGGAACTAAACCCAACAGGGGAGGGGCCGGGTGGGCATTCCGCCTCGGAAGCGGATCCGGCTCCGGGCGTGACCACCACCCTCTAACTAACCCCCTGTAGCGCCCCTGGTCTGGTCCCGCTGGCTGGAGCTGGACTGGACATCGGTGGAGCGGATTGCTTAGGCTCCGGTGTGGAGCAGCTGACCGGTACCTGACCAGGCACCGGTGAAACAGGCACGGGCTGTGCCGGACTGACGACGCGCACCACAGGCTTGGTGCGGGGAGCAGGAACGGGCCGGACCGGGCTGACGACGCGCACCACTGGCTTGGTGCGGGGAGCAGGAACTGGCCGGACCGGGCTGGCAACGCGCACCACAGGCTTGGTGCGGGGAGCAGGAACGGGCCGGACCGGGCTGACGACACGCACCACTGGCTTGGTGCGGGGAGCAGGTACAGGCCGGACCGGGCTGGCGACGCGCACCACTGGCTTGGTGCGGGGAGCAGGAACAGGCTGGACCGGGCTGGTGACGCGCACCCCAAGCTTGGTGCGAGGGGCAGGAACGGGCCGGGCTGGCGACGCGCACCACAGGCTTGGTGCGAGGGGCAGGAACAGGCCGGGCCGGGCTGGCGACGCGCACCACAGGCTTGGTGCGAGGGGCAGGAACAGGCCGGGCCGGGCTGGCGACGCGCATCACAGGCTTGGTGCGAGGGACAGGAACAGGCCGGACCGTACTGGGAACACACACCACTGGCCTTGTGCGGGGATCAGGAACGGGCCGGACCGGACTGGTAACACACCCCAGTACCTCTCGCCGTGCCTCTACACTCTCCTTCCCTCTAATGACCAATGGCCCCCGTAACCTGGTGGCCTTCTCTCCTAGACCACAATCTCGCCCTGTCGGCAGGCGCACAATTGGCCCAGGGTAGGGGAGGGAATGGCCGGCAGGGATGTAGCTCAGTTGGTAGAGCATGGTGTTTGCAACGCCAGGGTTGTGGGTTTGTTTCCCATGGGGGGGGGGGGGGGGGGGGGGCAGTATGAAAAAAAATATTGAAAGAATATATAAAAATCAAAAATGTATGCACTCATTACGTGTAAGTCGCTCTGGATAAGAGCGTCTGCTAAATAACTATTAAAAAAATATAAGAAATACATGGCCAGCGGTCACTACGAGCATCTGGTCATGCCATTTGGCCTTAACAATGCTCCAGCTGTGTTTCAGGCCCTGGTTAATGTTCTCCGCGACATGTTCAACCAGTTTGTCTTCGTCTACCTCGACGACATCCTCGTCTTCTCCCGCTCCGCCCAAGAACAAGTGCTCTACGTCTGACAGGTCCTCCAACGCCTCCTGGAGAACCAGCTTTTTGTGAAAGTGGAGTAATGTGAATTCCATCGCTCCACCATTCCCTTCCTGGGATACATCATCGCTGCAGGGAGTGTACAGATGGATCCCGGGAAGGTGAGCGCGGTGGTTATTGGCCCCAGCCTACGTCCAGAGTGCAGCTACAACGTTTCCTGGGATTCACCAACTTTTATCGCCGCTTTATCCGGGGTTACAGCACCCTGGCTTCCCCCCTGTCTGCACTCACCTCTCCCAAGGTTCCGTTCACATGGTCCCCAGCTGCTGACCGGGCGTTCCGGGATCTCAATCACCGATCACCACTGCTCCCATCTTGGTTCATCCTGACCCGTCCCGATGCTTTGGATGTTAGAGTGGGGGCGGTCCTGTCCCAGCGTTCGGCCCTGGACTTCAAGTTACATCCCTGCGCCTTCTTCTCCCATCGCCTCAACACCACGGAGAGGAAATACGATGTGGGGAATCGTGAGCTTCTCACGGTGAAGATGGCGTTGGAGGAGTGGAGGCACTGGCTGGAGGGGGCGGAACATCCGTTTATTGTGCGGACAGACTACAAGAACTTGGAATATCTCCGCACCGCCAAGCATCTCAATTCCAGGCAAGCTACATTTCACCCGGTTCAACTTCTCCCTCTCATACCGACCAGGATCCAAGAATGTCAAGCCAGATGCGCTGTCACGCCGCTATAGCCCCGCGGCTACACCCCCGGAATCCGAGACCATTCTTCCCATCTCATGCTTGGTGACGGCACTCAGTTGGAGAATAGGGAAGAAGGTCTGGGAGGCGCAGTGTTTGTTCCTGACGCTGTCCGCTCCTCAGTCCTGGAGTGGGCCCACTCCTCCAGGCTTGCCTGCCACCCGGGCTCCCGGTTGTGAACCGGTTTTCCAAAGCTGCCCACTTCATTCCTCTCCCCAAGCTACCCTCCTCCAAAGAGAGGGCCCAGCTCTTGGTGCAGCACATCTTCCGGATCCATGGACTCCCAGTGGACATGGTCTCCGACCGGGGTCCTCAGTTCTTGTCCCAGTTCTGGAAGGCATTCTGCACACTCATTGGGTCTTCGGCCAGCCTGTCCTCCGGTTTCCACCCTCAGTCCAACGGCCAGTCGGAGCGAGCCAACAAAGACCTGGAGACGACTCTGCGCTGCCTGGTCTCCACCAACCCCACCACCTGGAGCCAGCAACTAGTGAGGGTCGAATATGTTTCCTGCGTTATCAGCCCCCGCTCTTCCTGGAGCAAGAGGAAGAGGTCGGCATATCTTCGGCCCAGATATTTGTCTGCCGCTGTCGTCGTACCTGGAGGACAGCCCGGTCGGCTCTTCTCAAGACCCCCTCCAGGTATCGATGACAAGCGGACCGCCACCGGACCCCAGCTCCCTGGTATCGTCTCGGGCAGAAGGTATGGCTGTCCATCCGAGATCTGCAACCTCCGGGTGGAGTCCCGCAAACTATCCCCCCCGGTTTATCGGCCCTTTCCCCATCTCCAAGATCATTAGCCCCTCTGCTGTTCATCTTCTGTTGCCCCGTACCCTCTGTATACATCCCACTTTTCATGTGCCTAGGATCAAACCCATTTCTCACAGCCCTTTGTCTCCTGTTTCCAGGCATACAAGACCACTGATAATCTCCCTCGATCTGGGGCTCCATGCAAGATCTCACCCTGTGGGGTCAAAATGATCACAAGAACGGTGAGCAAAAATCCCAGAACCACACGGGGGGACCTAGTGAATGACCTGCAGAGAGCTGGGACCAAAGTAACAAAGCCTACCATCAGTAACACACTACGCCGCCAGGGACTCAAATCCTGCAGTGCCAGACGTGTCCCCCTGCTTAAGCCAGTACATGTCCAGGCCCGTCTGAAGTTTGCTAGAGTGCATTTGGATGATCCAGAAGAGGATTGGGAGAATGTCATATGGTCAGATGAAACCAAAATATAACTTTTTGGTAAAAACTCAACTCGTCGTGTTTGGAGGACAAAGAATGCTGAGTTGCATCCAAAGAACACCATACCTACTGTGAAGCATGGGGGTGGAAACTTCATGCTTTGGGGCTGTTTTTCTGCAAAGGGACCAGGACGACTGATCCGTGTAAAGGAAAGAATGAATTTAAGTCAAAACTGTAGCTAAGCCACTCAGGAAGATGCAATGTTGTCTTGGTAAGCAACTCCTGTGTATATTTGGTGTTGTGTTTTAGGCTATTGTCCTGCTGAAAGGTGAATTTGTCTCCCAGTGTCTGTTGGAAAGCAGACTGAACCAGGTTTTCCTCTAGGATTTTGCCTGTCCTTAGCTCTATTCCAGTTATTTTTATCCTAAAAAACTCCCTAGTCCTTGCCGATGACAAGCATACCCATAACATGATGCAGCCACCATCATGCTTGAAAATATGAAGAGTGGTACTCAGTGATTTGCGGTGTTGGATTTGCCCCAAACATAACACTTCGTGTTCAGGACATAAAGTTATTTTATTTGCCTTTTTATTTGCAGTATTAATTTAGTGCCTTATTACAAACTGGATCCATGTTTTGGAATATTTGTATTCTGTACAGGCTTCCTTCTTTTCACTCTGTCAATTATGTTAGTATTGTGGAGTAACTACAATGTTGTTGATCCATCTTCAGTTTTCTCCAATCACTATGCTCAAAGGGATATTCAATGTCTGCTTTTAAATGTTTTACCCATCTACCAATAGGTGCCCTTCTTTGCAAGGCATTGCAAAACCTCCCTGGTCTTTGTGGTTGAATCTGTGTTTGAATTTCACTGCTTGACTGAGAGAGCTTACAGATAATTGTATGTGTGTGGTACATACATAAAGTAGTCATTCAAAAATCATGTTAATCACTATTATTGCACACAGAGTGAGTCCATGCAACTTATTAGGTGACTTGTTCAGCAAATGTGTACACCTGAACTTTTTTAGGCTTGCAATAACAAAGGGGTTGAAAACGTATTCACTCAAGACATTTCAGCTTTTCATTTTTTATTAATTTGTAAAAAATTCTAAAAACATAATTCCACTTTGATATTATGGAGTATTGTATAAAGACCAGTGACACACAATCTCAATTTAATCAATTTTAAATTCAGGCTGTAACACAACAAAATGTGGAAAAAGTTAAGGGGTGTGAATACTTTCTGAAGGCCCTATATGTGTGTCATTCAGAGGGTGAATGGGCAAGATAAAATATTTAAGTGCCTTTGAACAGGGTATGGTAGTAGGTGCCAGGCGCACCGGTTTGTGTCAAGAACTGCAATGCTTCTGGGTTTTTCACGCTCAACAGTTTCCCATTTGTATCAAGAATGGTCCAACACCCAAAGGACATCCAGCCAACTTGACACAACTGTGGGAAGCATTGGATTGAACATAGGCCAGCATCCCTGTGGAACACTTTCGACACCTTATATAGTCCATGCCTCAAAGAATTGAGGCTATTCTGAGTGCAAACGGGGGTGTGGGGGTGGGGGGGTGCATCTCAATATTAGGAAGGTTTTCTTAATGTTTTGTACACTCAGCCTATGTTTTATTACAAGTGAGCCTATTGTTGTGTGTGACTTTGCGTGAATGAATGTGATTTTGTCTTGTTAGTTGGAGCGTAACATTCTTGTCATTTCAGAGGTCAGAGTGGACATTCCTCCTCCCAGGATGCAACCCCGGAGGTCAGACAGTCTGCTGACCTTTCATTTTCTGCTATGCCACACACCACAGCCATCAGGTCTCTCAGCCAGCCACCAGAGGTCGCCACTGCAGGGCTGTCCATAGTCAATACTCAGACGGACCACAGACGTTCCTTTGGAGCTGACGGTGAGAGGAAAGAATACACTTCTCATCATGAATCTAAAGTATTTAGAGTCAATTAATGATAACTCATCATTATCACCAGTATAATCATCAGGATGTATTTTCTTGTTTTGGCTTTTTGTTAAAATAGAGACAATACTTGAACATAGACATGTGAAGGGATGGAATGGAAAACAATCCTATGTAAGTGATTTTGTATGTCTTAAAAACAAATCATTAGCTGAAAATATGGATCAATATAGCACAGGTCAAAATGTCTCATCTCAGCCATCATCTCCCTACTTATCTCACACAGAAATCCCATAAGCCTCTCTCCATGTCCACTCCCATCCCACCAGCATTGAGGCCAGAGCAAAGTACAGCCAAAAGCAACACTGAAGAGAAGAGGTGAGCAAGTGAGGCATTAACAGCAAAATATAGAGAAAACAGAAGCACATTTATCCTTATAACCTTTTCCTCTCTTCCCTCTATTTCTCCTCTTCCCCCCCACCCTTCTCTTCGAGTCCATAGTGTGGAAACAATTGTCCAGCAGCGCTACCCTGTCGCTCCCTCCATTCACCCCCACCGTCTTGTCCTGAAGAACAACCATCTCCCTTCTTCCTCCGCTTTATCCTCCTCCTCCTCTATACCTGGAGATGAGAAGCAAAGCCGTCACCTGGTCCATGCCCCGATCCCCTACCGGCCATTTTCTATCAAGAGTGCCCATCTCTCCGTCCCCTGGCCCCTGCCCGAGCACTCTGACTGGGTCACTCTAGCCACCTCTGTGGGCGATGGCCTGGTGGTCCACCCTGACCTTAACCCCAACCTTCGAAGCATCCCCTACCTCCAGACCTTCCACCAGCAGAGCAGCAGCAACACCCAGAGCAGGATGCAGAGCACTGGGGAGGCCTGGCACAAGCCTGGGAAGACCCCAGCCGCACGGGTCCAGGACCAGGACAGGCGGGGGGTGCGGCCCCCATGGAGGGATGTGGAGGTGCAGCCAGAGAGGGTGTTTGGGGAGGGTCTGAAAGAGGCTGACTCTCCTCTGGACCTGTCTGATCCTGGGAGGTTCAAAAGCAGTAAATCACCACAGGACAGCAAGCCCAGCCCTACACTGCAGGACTTGTACATAGAGGGAGAGACATCTAACAGGGCCACGAGGACAGACTCCTCCTCACAGATCCAGGCCCATCCTCCCTCTTCCTCCTCCTCCTCTTCTTCTCCACCTGCTCCTCCCTCATCCTCCTCTTCTATACCTCCCCCCAGCCAACAGAGGCAAAGCCCCAGCGATCACAACCTCAAGGTACTTTACTGAAGCCTTCCTCTCAATGAGCATGTGAAATAGACATACCAACACGCGTGTGATTTAGTAATGTGATATGTCTAACCCCATCCACAGGAGGAAGGGCAATCAGAGATGGAGGAAGCTGACGGGAAAGCAGATCAAAGAACAGGAAAGGACTCTGAGGACAGGAAAGACCCTGTTCTGACCATCTCACTGTGTCCAGGTACAGGACACCATGACAAGGCTGTATGTGTAGAAGTACAAGTACATATAATAATAATAATAATAATAATAATAATAATAATAATAATAATAATAATAATAATAATACATTGTATTTGCACCTTTCAAGATACATAAGGACATTACATTAATAAGAGCAAAAGTACATTACAAAAAGGAACATGGCTCCCAATAAATGTCCTCTTTTGTCCTCAATTGCTCCTCTATTGTTGCCGCAATCAAGGGGGACCTCGAGTAGAGCATGGGGAGGCCTCAAGAAGAGAAATTATTTTGTAAAAATGTATTACTAGTCTTTTTTAATTTTTTATGCCCAGCTCACGAGGCCCCTTAATGATGTGAGGCCTGAGGCAATTGCCTCTTCTGCCCAGTCTGCCACTGGGGGCAGGTGAGGAATCTCTCGGCTGAGTTCTGGATGTACTGAATTTTGTTGAGGGAGCTGGTATGGTCCATACAGGAGAGCATTGCAACAGTCCAGCGGTGAGGTAAAATAGGCATGTACAGATGTAGGATCTTAATTTGAGCCAGTTTGCTAAAGCAAGGGAATAATCCTGCAGCAACAGGAAATATGAATTATTATGTGGATGATAATTAATGGCCATTTTTGTAGGGGTTTATATATTTTTTAAGGGAAAATCAAGTCTGACATTTCGGAGTGGAAATTACAAAATGCAGAAGCCTTTTTAAACCTCAAATACACTTAACGTTTTAAAGATCCTGCATTGCAGCAAAGTTCTCCTGCAATAGGGTGATCAGATGAACATCCTATGCCTGTTTAATGGTTTCAGCAACTGAGTCTGTAAGGAAGGGGCGGAGTCTGACGATGTTCTTGAGATGATGGAAGGCAGATTTTGTGATGTTTTTAATGTGGGCATCAAAGGAGAGCGTAGAATCGAGGACGACCCCCAGATTCTTCACCTCGGAGGCAGGACGGATAGAGCAGCTGTCGATGTTAAGGTCGACCTCCTCCACCTTCTTCAGGAGAGATCTGGGGGCCACCAACATGGCCTCTGTCTTATCACTGTTGAGCTTCAGGAAGTTTGAGCTCATCCATTATTTTATTTCTTGAAGACAGTTGATGAGTGATGATGGTGGAGGTCAGAGGTGGGTTTGGAGTGAACGTAGATTTGCATGTCATCAGCGTAACAGTGGGATTGCAGACCGTATTGACGGATGATTTGGCCAAGGGGTAGGATGTAGATGATGAAAAGGAGAGGCCCTAGGACTGAGCCTTGGGGGACTCCCTGGCGGACAGCATAATGGGCGGATTTGAAGTTTCCAGGGTCAAAAACTGCTGCCTGTCCGACAGGTAGGACCTGAACCAGGCCAGAGCTGTTCCGATAATTACCAGGGTCCGCTCCATTCTTTCAAAGAGGATGGAATGGCAAACTGTGTCAAAGGCAGCTGATAAGTCCATTAGGATGAGGATGTTTAGATTGCCAGAGTAATCTACTAGTAGTAGATCATTTACCACTTGAACCAGAGCCGTTTCCGTGCTGTGATTGGCCCTAAACCCCGATTGAAGAGGCTCAAAGAGGTCATTGGAAGCCATGTGCTGATTGAGTTGGGAAGGTACATCATGCTCAATAACTTATGCCAGGAAGGGAATGTTGGATATTAGCTTGTAGTTGTTGAGGTTAGCTGGGTTTTGTCCTTGTTTTTTTTCACAATGGGTGGGATAGCAGCCAGTTTGACATCAGGAGGAACAGTGCCAAAGCAAAGGACACATTGACAACCGTGAGGGGAGAGATTGCAGGAAGACATGTCTTGACTAGGGAAGTGGGCATAGGGTCAAGTGAGCAGGTTGAAGCTTTGGATTTGGTGACTAGACCAGAGATGAACTCAGCATCAACAGGGGAGAAGGTGGAGAGGGAGGAAAGGGTTGCTGAGTCGAGCTATGGAGGGGGCTCGCTCTGTGGACTTTGTTTGAGCTGTATCTATTTTAGTGTCTATTTTGTTTTGGAAGAAGTCCAGCTACTGATCACAGAGGTCAGCTGAAGCATTGAGGGGGGAGTCATTATGTGGCTGTAGTAGCTTTTTGATCGTGGAGATGAAAGCTCTCAGGTTATTATGACCTTTACTGATAATGATTGAGTAGTGGTTAGACTTGGTCTTGTGGAGCGCATCTTTGTAGTTTGAGACATGTTCCTTATATGCATGTACTGTGAGCCCTGTTTTCTTATCCAGCCATTCCAGATGGTGGCCGGCAGCCTTCATGGTACGTAGTTCGGTGTGTACCAGGGTGAAGACTGGGAGAAAAAAAATATATATATTTTTATGTATCTCTGTAATTACAGTGGTGCTCCTTGAGGCTCTGAATTCTGGATTGCAGAAGAAACTTTACTCCAATGGCAAGGCAAGTGTCTACAATCCCTATATGTTCACAGTCTGTAAACTGAAACTGATCTGAGGTTATTTACAGTTAGTGTCTTGTCATTGTTTGATATTTACAGTCAGCCCAAAGTACTGCTACAGGGAGCAACTCAGACGACCAGGAAGTGGAGAGCAGTCTGTCTGGGTCAGAGAGCAGCCAGAGCTCCAAAAGGAAGAGGACTGGGCTGGACACAGACACAGAGGGTAAGGACGGATGGATAGAGAGAGGGAGGGGAAGTGAAAGAGAGAGAGAGAGAGAGAGAGAGAGAGAGAGAGAGAGAGAGAGAGAGAGAGAGAGAGAGAGAGAGAGAGAGAGAGAGAGAGAGAGAGAGAGAGAGTGAAAGAGAAAGAGAAATAGAAAGCTCACATATGAAGTCAAATGTGTGTCTTGTATCAAGCTGTGGGTTTCTTTTCTCTTGTTCTCCTCTAGTTTCTCATCGGAAGGAGAGGAGGATCAACCTTCTTCGTACAGTAACTGGGAAAGAGCCCAAGTGACACAGATGACCAGTCAAGGATAAAATCACACTGAGGTCTGTAGCTCACACACACTATACTGTGCCTACTGAATGTCTGAGAGTTGGCCTGTATGTCACACTGAGATGCGGACACATAATTGTCAGTGGAATGTGTTATTTTCGAAGGAAATGTACCTCACCTAAGAATAGAGAGTAAAATGAGGGTGAGACAAACTGTGCATAAATACAGTGGGGGAAAAAAGTATTTAGTCAGCCACCAATTGTGCAAGTTCTCCCACTTAAAAAGATGAGAGAGGCCTGTAATTTTCATCATAGGTACACGTCAACTATGACAGACAAAATTAGGAAATAAAATCCAGAAAATCACATTGTAGGATTTTTTATGAATTTATTTGCAAATTATGGTGGAAAATAAGTATTTGGTCAATAACAAAAGTTTCTCAATACTTTGTTATATACCCTTTGTTGGCAATGACACAGGTCAAACGTTTTCTGTAAGTCTTCACAAGGTTTTCACACACTGTTGCTGGTATTTTGGCCCATTCCTCCATGCAGATCTCCTCTAGAGCAGTGATGTTTTGGGGCTGTCGCTGGGCAACACGGACTTTCAACTCCCTCCAAAGATTTTCTATGGGGTTGAGATCTGGAGACTGGCTAGGCCACTCCAGGACCTTGAAATGCTTCTTACGAAGCCACTCCTTCGTGTGTTACTGATGGTAGGCTTTGTTACTTTGGTCCCAGCTCTCTGCAGGTCATTCACTAGGTCCCCCCGTGTGGTTCTGGGATTTTTGCTCACCATTCTTGTGATCATTTTGACCCCACGGGGTGAGATCTTGCGTGGAGCCCCAGATCGAGGGAGATTATCAGTGGTCTTGTATGTCTTCCATTTCCTAATAATTGCTCCCACAGTTGATTTCTTCAAAACAAGCTGCTTACCTATTGCAGATTCAGTCTTCCCAGCCTGGTGCAGGTCTTCAATTTTGTTTCTGGTGTCCTTTGACAGCTCTTTGGTCTTGGCCATAGTGGAGTTTGGAGTGTGACTGTTTGAGGTTGTGGACAGGTGTCTTTTATACTGATAACAAGTTCAAACAGGTGCCATTAATACAGGTAACGGGTGGAGGACAGAGGAGCCTCTTAAATAAGAAGTTACAGGTCTTGCTTGTTTGTAGGTGACCAAATACTTATTTTCCACCATAATTTGCAAATAAATTCATTAAAAATCCTACAATGTGATTTTCTGGATTTATTTTTCTCAATTTGTCTGTCATAGTTGACGTGTACCTATGATGAAAATTACAGGCCTCTCTCATCTTTTTAAGTGGGAGAACTTGCACAATTGGTGGCTGACTAAATACTTTTTTTCCCCACTGTATATTGACTTCATGTAAACCCCTTGGCCTGTAGCTCTGTGTTCCTGAAACATGGGTTTAATTACATTTAGTAAGCGAGTAAAAGAAAAACTACACTTACACCTCAACCTCTTTTTGTTGTCCCTCTTCCCTCAGCCATGTGATGTTCGATGTAAAAAAGGATCAATCTATCAGCTGTATTCCACCCTCCTAATCACCCCTCTCTGCAATGGAGATGTCTGTCTCACTGGAATTGGAACAGAGGGACAGCCAGTGTCAACGACTTTAACAGAACTTCTTCCATCTGACTGTTGTCCTTTCAGTAGAGGGTTCTTGCTAGTGGGCTTTATGCATTTCAATGGAATAACCTTGATAATGGCTAACTAGATAATAACCTCGTGATTAATATTGAATTATCCTCCAACTGATAAAGAATGTCTTTCACGCTGACTTCCCAGCATTGCTGTTGTCTCAGAAGGCCAAACAGGGGGAGTCGCCACTCTACTACAGTACCTACTTTATTTATCTTTCACTCTGTCACTCTCTCTCTCTCTCTCTCTCCCACTCTCTCTCTCCCACTCTCTCTCCCACTCTCTCTCTCCCACTCTCTCTCTCCCACTCTCTCTCTCCCACTCTCTCTCTCTCAGTCTCTGTAACCCCTATCTCTACTTCTCTCTCACACTAATATTGTGCTCTCATGTAACATATTCATGCATGTCTGCTTCCTGGCAGAACTGTCACCTCTGCCTGGCTATTTTTGTCACAAATTGTTCTTCTTCCTCTTTTTGGTTTTCAGATAGCACATATTTTTCAAGTCTTAACTTTCCACTTGCAGCTGCAACAAAGTTTGTGTTAATGTGGTGGGATGATGTGGGGGGTAAGAGTGTGGAGGGGGGAACAACACAATAGTTCTGAAGCCATTATGGACTCTCGTTGATCTCTGCTTTTTTGCTAATGTCATCAGAGTCCAATATGTTCATTGTCAGTAGTCAACTATGTGAACTTAGTGCACTCAGTGTTGAGAGAGCTCTGAGTGACACTGCTCTTCTCTACCATGTTTACTCTGCATAAAAATATGTTCTCAATATATGACATTGGTAAGGTAAAGAATCTTCAAGCTCTTAGAGACACTGTTGTGTACTAGCTATGAAGTCAATATTGAATGTGTAATAATACATTTTAAAAAGCCATCTAAATATGTAGTCTATCTTAACAATGTGATGAAAAATAAAACATGGTTATTTGAATTATAAAACTGTCTGGAAACATGTATTTGGTCCAGGATGTTATGCAAAGTGACCATGTCGTCATGACATTTACATTTTAGTCATTTAGCAGACACTCTTATCCAGAGCGACTTACAGTTAGTGAGGGCATACATTATTTATTTTTTATACACTGGCTCCCCGTTGGAATCGAACCCACAACCCTGGCGTTGCAAACGTCATGCTCTAGCAACAGAGCTATATCCCTGCCGGCTATTCCCTCCCCTACCCTGGACCAATTGTGCGCCGCCCCATGGGTCTCCCGGTCGCGGCCAGCTACGACAGAGCCTGGATTCGAACCAGGATCTCTAGTGGCACAGCTAACACTGCGATGCAGTGCCTTAGACAACTGCGCCACTCGGGACCAGACCAACAGTGTGGAAACCTCTCCTATGATGCTGTGATCATCCGGGAAACCGACACCCCTGCCCAGTCACAGGAAGTCAACGCCACAGTGAACACAGAGATGGAACACTGTGGGAATTCCTGCTTTTCCATCATCTATCACTAGGTCTTTTTCAAATCAATTTATCACTTAATAGTTTCATATGGTGGAAATATTTCACATTTTCAAACATTTTAGATATCTGTTCAAATTGGACATCTCCTGTCAAAATTAATGGTACTGTAGGTCTTTGTGGTCTTTGTCAGGTTAGTAAGGGATACCTTAAACTCTGATGAGATTCATCACCCACGCAGAATTAATAAATTAATCAATCAAATGTACTAATAAAGCCCTTTTTACATCAGCAGATGTCACAAAGTGCTTATACAGAAACCCAGCCCAAAACCGCAAACAGCAAGCAATGCAGATGTAGAAGTATGATGGCTAGGAAAAACTCCCTAGAAAGGCAGGAACCTAGGAAGAAACCTAGAAAGGAACCAGGCTCTGAGGGGTGGCCAGTCCTCTTCTGGCTGTACCGGGTGGAGATTATAAGAGTACATGGTCATTAAGGCCAGATCGTTCTTCAAGATGTTCAAACGTTCATAGATGACCAGCAGGGTCAAATAATAATCACAGTGGCTGTTTTCGAAGGATGGGTCCTGGCCTCTCGTGGGGCCTAGGGATCCGGGGGGACGGGGGTGGTATGCCGATCACTGGGATGACAACCCAACTTGGGATGGGGAGGGGCTTTAGCGGGGGGAATAGTGGAGAACAATTGGAGGGTTACTTAGTAGCAATGCAAATATCATGGTACAGCTATATGGACACTCAATCACTATGGTATTTTCTATTGGCAATGTGACAAACATATATTATGATAAATAGATTTGAAACCTGTATCTCATTATGGTAAGTGGTGAAATAAGTATAGCCAGTTATAATTGTAATGGCTTAGCAGATAATAACAAAAGAATAACAATATTTACATGGCTCAAAGAGAAGGAATATAATATCTATTGTTTACAGGAAACTCATTCATCAATTCTGGATTAAATTGTGTGGAAAAAGGACTGGGGGGGGCGAAATATACTTCTCCCATGGGCAAAGAAACTCAAAAGGGGTAATGATATTAATTAACAGTAATTTCGATCCAAATGTGCAAATTGTCCAAACAGATCCGCAAGGTAGATGGATGATTTTAAATATGTTATTGGACCATAAACAGATACGGCTCATTAACCTTTACGGACCAAATAATGATGATCCACACTTCTTTGACAATATATATAATAAATTATCAACCCTGCAAGCAATACAATACTCTATTATTATGGTGGGAGATTATAAACTGTTTTAAATAGCTCAATGGACCGTAAAGGAAGTCACACTACAAACTATCACCCTCATGCTCTTAAGGAAATCATGAATGTCATGGATACATTAGAATTAGTAGATAAATGGAGGCTGAAATATCCTGACCTAGTGAGATATACATGGCGGCGACTCAATCAAGCTAGTCGTCTTGACTTCTTTCTTATGTCATTCTCGTTGGCACCAAAAGTTTAAAAAGTGTTGATTGGGGACAGAATGCGGTCGGACCATCATATAATTGGCATATACATTACTCTTACTGAATTTCAACGTGGGCGAGGATATTGGAAATTTAATCAAAGCCTATTGGATGATAACTTGTTTTTAACTAGGACAGAGGAATTTATAACTGATTTTTTTCCAACATAACATAGGTACAGCAAATCCCCTTATTGTATGGGACACTTTTAAATGTGCCTTTAGAGGCCATGCAATTCAGTACTCATCTCGAAAACAAAAGCAATTTAGGTCAAAAGAGTCCCTACTAACAAAGGAAATAGAAGGTCTAACAGAACAGATAGATAGCATTAAAAACTGTAACATAGAGGCTCAGAATAGATTAGAGGAAAAAATAAAATAAATGGAGAAACTTATTCAAGAAAGATCAAGTGTAATATATTATAAAAATAAAGCAAACTGGATGGAATATGGGGAAAAATGCACCAAATTATTTTTTTATCTTCAACATAGAAATGCTACCAAAAATAATTTACTGAAACTGGTTACAAATGATGGAGTCACCCATGATTCTCCAAATTATATTTTGAAGGAGGAAGCAAAGTACTTTAAGCATATATTTTCATTTCAATCGCCTCCTTCTCCTCTAACTGAAGCGAATTGTAGGGATTTTTTTTCTATTGATAATGTAAAATTAACAGCCATACAGAAAGACTCATGTGAAGGTGATATTACAGAGGAGGAACTTCTGGATGCAATTAAAGACTTTAAGTCCGGGAAAACTCCAGGGTTGGATGGCATACCAGTCGAGGTATACCAAACCTTTTTTGATATACTCAGAGGACCGTTATTAGCATGTTTTAACCACTCCTATGTAAATGGTAGATTATCAGACACTCAAGAAGAAGGTTTGATTTCATTATTACTGAAACAGGATACAAGTGGGAAATATAAAGATCCAGTCCATTAAAAAAATTGGAGGCCACTCACATTTCAGTGTTGCGATGCAAAAATTCTAGCAAAATGTATAGTGCATAGAATTAAAAAGGTATTGTCGGCCATCCCCGTCCACATTGCCCTAGCAAAACCGAAACCTACTTGAAGGTAACAGTGCTCACTGTTGCCCCTAGTGGACAGTTTCCACATCTCCCGAGGTCCTCAGACATGGATGGACATTGAATACTGACTTGTATCATGGGTGACCTGGCTGAAATCCCACCATAGAAACATGGAGGCAATTATTTTATAAAGACTTCCTCATATGTATTCTCCTGTTCGATTGGCTTTCTTTTAACTTTCTTTAATTGTCTAGCAGCCAAAGGCATTATCCTAGTAATATTAGCAACCCATGATAGTTGTTTCATGTTTAGATCTCCCATCTTTCTAAATTTCTAACAGATATTTTCAGGCCCGGTCCTGCCCTCCTATACCCCAGTAAATCTTGAAAAGTCCCAGTAGGCAAAATTACGTCTAAAATACGTTTCTTCCAGATGTTGAAGTTAGAACCTAAAATGAACCTAAATTAAAGGTGAAAAGATGGCTTTTCCGGACGTTTAAAATACGTATTTTCCAGACATTGCAATCAAGTTCATTTTAGGGTTCTGAATGAAAGATGAAAAGACGTCATTTATAGATGTCTGTTTTTGGACCAAATCAAGGCCAGTCCAGACCGGACCAAATCTGAACCAAACATAGACGTCAAGGCCGGTCCGAACCGCACAACAACAAAAAAAAATGTCCAAAAGACGTCGGCGTTGGTCCATGCTTACTGGGGTGTACAGTGTCGGTCTGCAATGGAATTTTATGAATTCTCATCCATGTGGTAGGCCTACCATTTATAAAACCAGTCAGGTCACCTGTGATACAAGTCAGTATTCCGTGTCCATCCATGTCTGAGGACGTCGGGAGATGACGTGGAAAACGGCCACTAGGGGCAACAGGGAGCGCTGTTATCTTCAAGTAGGTTTCGGTTTTGCTAGGGTTTTGTTGATGTTGTTGTTGATGGGGATGGTGGAAGAGTGTTAGCATCTGCCTCATATTCTAAACTCTGCCTTGGATTCTAAAGGTTGCAAGTTCAAATCCAGCGATAGAAAGTTGTTTTTGAGATTTTTGTTTTAAGCCTATCCCAAACCTTAACCCTTACCTTAACCATTCGGAGTCAATGCATACATTTACATTTTACATTTGAGTCATTTAGCAGTTAGTGAGTGCATACATTTTTCATTACCTTAAGATTTCGGAGTTAATGACTAAACTTAACCCTAACCTTAAGAATTCTGAGTTAATGCCTCAACTTAACCTTAAACACTTCAAAATTTGATGTTTGAGAAACATGGATGAATATCTCATTTGGACCTGAGACTGTGAGAGCTAGTTGTGTAAAACAGGCAGTTGAATTGGCTTTATTAGTCCTGATCCCAGTGACTAATCAATTTCTCTATTTAAGCTCTGAATATCAGCTACCCAACTTTATCAGGAGTTATCCTGAGCCTATTTGCAATGAGAATCAATGTGTTAACACAGTGGGAAATGCAGAAGTATTTTTTATTTCGCTATGATCAGCTCATCAAAAATAGACAGATACAAACTTGAAACTACTGATCTTGACAATTTAGCCCAAGGGGTAAAACTCCTGGACAGCAGTTGTGAGTAGCCTCCATTCCATATTGTCCCATTTACTTTGACCTGTGCTGTTTTTAGGATATGATGTTAAGATGTCAGCGCATTTTATATTTGATTGGGCGCCATTTAGGTTAGGCTATTTGATCGGAGAAACGTGCATGATGTAAAAAGTGTCCTTCTCATTACATTGTCATACATGTTATCTCCAGCCTGTAGGCTACAGAAAAGACCACTACCATAGGCTATATCTGCTACATGCTTTGTTATAATATTTTTTGATGGAATGTTGGTGGAGCGCCGCAGTGATGTATTTCTCCAACAGCACCAGCACTCTGCTGGGAATGGACAAGCAAAATGTTTTGCACCTCTGCCTTTGACAAAGTGGGCACTGCTTATCACAGGATGGCATCACCTAAAAAGCCCATATGCCACTGGTTGAGAGAAACTGTCATTGTTTTTAGGCAGAATTATGTGAGGTTTTATGTGTTGTTGGAGGTTTATCTAGTCAATCTGGAGCGGCCCTAGTCAATCTGCCAAATCCTGCCTAATGGGCGGGCCAACCCTGGATATTTCAATCTCTGTCCACAAAACCGCTCTCATGTGCGGCGTGCATTTTAGAACGGTGTGTTCCTGCAAATTGCATTTTGGAACATTGGCACGTAGGCCTACCACCGTGAGCACATTGCTAACCTAAAATGTTTAGAAATAATTGTTTATCAACATTTTAAGCTATACATTCTTATCTGTTCCAAATGCCTTATTAATAATTGATATGGCGTATACCTCCACTACACTACCTTGATACGCACCGTGGGGATTAAGAAGTGAGTATATTCAATGCCCGCTGAAAAATAAGTGGGTACAAGGTGTGTACTTGCGTATACCCTCCACTACACCACTGGCCCCATCTAAGACTCTCCTTCTGACTCTCTCTTTCAACCCGTGGCTCAGAATGTTTGTTTAATCCTGACATTTGAAAGAGACAGAGGATTTTTTAAATGTCCTTACATGGCCCGATCCGCCCATGCCACCATGCTCCATGCCCTCTGTGACTGATAGCAGGCTCATGATTGAATTAACCTCGTCCCCAGGCTCGAATTGCTGACCCATAGACCAACGCATAGACAGAGAGAGACCCGGCTGGTGGGCGAGATTATGATTGATGTGACAGAGACAGAGAGAAAGTTCATCGTGCGCAGTTAGATGCGAGGCACTAACTTCCTCGTATACAAATAGAACGCACCCTTCAGCTCTTTCTATCTGAACTAGAATCACGGGATGGAAGAGCCGACATAAAAGGAAAAGGAGCGCTTTCTAAAGAATATAAATAATTCAGCGTTAGAGAACGTGGAATATACAGCTGGTTGGAACGAGGTAACTCCCTCAAATGTTTTCTTCTAGACCACTAGCCTATACTACAAGGGGAATATGTATCCTCACTGATATTCATACCATAGGCAATAAGCATTTCTTAAAGAATAAAAGTAGATGAACAGATGGCTGTTGTCTTAAAGCATTTCCCATCTGGGTCATTCAGTTAGTGGCATTATGAAAATTGCGCATTAAAGGGTTATGACCGTGTTATAGGCTAATGTAGGCCTAGGTATTGCAGAAGTGTATTCTAATGCTTTATATATATATATATGTAAACTCAACAAGATCTCACGGTTTTACCAATTTGACTTCAAATTCGGACGTTTATCCACCTTTCTCCAAACATGAAATTTCGAAATTGCTCCAAATGTTAAATTTCGAAGTGTTTTTAACACCCTGGGTTGCTTCCTGCTCAGTTTATTACAGTATTATAGACACTATGTCCTGGGATTTCCTATGATTTTCTATGTAGAAGAACGCCTTACTTTCTAACGATTATTGTATAGCTTGTGAGCAGAACAGAGCAGAACAGGTTACATGTGCGTGTTCGTGAGTCTCAGCTTTTCATAGATAGCTGTAGCTTTAACCATTCAGACGCTACAGACATTTCTGTATAAATGACCCTGCCCGGGTGCATTCGCGATCCGCCCTTGTCTCACAAACAAATAGTATAACCTAGAAGTTTGTAGCTCAAACATACGTTTTTAAAATGGGGTTAGAATTCCAAAACGCGCTGGCGTTATGGTGGGACTCATTGGGTTAAGGGTTAAGGTTTTGGATAGGGTTAAAACATTATGTTTAGGCATTCATTATTAATGGTTAAGGTCAGGGTTAAGGTTTGGGATAGGGTTAAAATAAAATAAAAAATAGTGTCTACCACTGGGATAGAACACGCGACCTTCGAATCTGGAGTCATGGGAAGAGCCCTCACGGTTTCCCGAGTGGTCGGTTTTGAAGGCATTTCCCAATATCATCAGCACAACTTCAAAGTCAATTTTGATTAATCTGCTCTTATCCAGAGCGACTTACAGTTAGTGAGTGCATACATTATTTATTATAATTTTTCATACTGGCCCCCGTGGGAATCAAACCCACAACCCTGGCGTTGCAAACGCCATGCTCTACCAACCGGCCATTCCCTCCCCTACCCTGGACGACGCCAATTGTGCGCCGCCCCATGGGTCTCCCGGTCACGGCCAACTACGACAGAGCCTGGATTCGAACCAGGATTTCTAGTGGCACAGCTACTCGGGAGAACACTATGACAATTCAGAAACTACAGAATTAGAATGTTCACATAAATGGCGTTGAAGGTGAGATTTATATGAACAGTTTATTCAAAATTGTTACATATTGTTATCCCAGGAATGTTGAGATATTAATTTATTTTTCATTTTGATGAGCCTCTGTCTCACTGCTTTTTCTCTAGCCTATACTGTATTAAAAAATGATAAAGAGGAACCAAAAGTTGCTTAGCCTACTGATACCAACACCGCCTACAATATGCACACTGTATATAAATGCAACGCCTATTCATGGATTGTAATCTATTTCTTGATGGAAACCAGGGCGTGAGTGAGTACATGGAAGGGGCTTGGCATGAACCGGTTCTGTTCCCTGAGCCGGTTCAAACCAAGGTGCTTCCTTGTCCACCCCTCTCTCTCGCTCTTTCCCCACCGGTGAAATTTCAGTAGCATCTTGAGCCTGCAGTAGCAAAAAACCTGGACTGACCACTTGCACTGACTCTCTGCACCTGAGCACACACACACTCACACACACACCCACACACACACATATACATTCATGCTACATACACATCACAACTGCTGCTACCAGACTCTTATTTATTATTGCTAAATACTACACAGTTTAAACACTTGACCCCCAATCCCTCTTCCCCAAAACACATGTACAGTTGAAGTCGGAAGTTTAAATACACTTAGGTTGGAGTCATTAAAACTCGTTTTTCAACCACTCCACACATTTCTTGTTAACAAACTATAGTTTTGGCAAGTCGGTTAGGACATCTACTTTGTGCATGACACAAATAATTTTTCCAACAATTGTTTACAGACAGATTATTTCACTTATAATTCACTGTATCACAATTCTAGTAGGTCAGAAGTTGACATACACTGAGTTGACTGTGCCTTTAAACAGCTTGGAAAATTCCAGAAAATGATGTCATGGCTTTAGAAGCTTCTGATAGGCTAATTGACATCATTTGAGTCAATTGGAGGTGTACCTGTGGATGTATTTCAAGGCCTACCTTCAAACTCAGTGCCTCTTTGCTTGACATCATGGGAAAATCAAAAGAAATCAGCCAAGACCTCAGAAAATAATTGTAGACCTCCACAAGTCTGGTTCATCCTTGGGAGCAATTTCCAAAAGCCTGAAGGTACCACGTTCATCTGTACAAACTATAGTACGCAAGTATAAACACCATGGGACCACGCAGCCGTCATACCGCTCAGGAAGGAGACGCGTTCTGTCTCCTAGAGATGAACGTACTTTGGTGCGAAATGTGCAAATCAATCCCAGAACAACAGCAAAGGACCTTGTGAAGATGCTGGAGGAAACAGATACAAAAGTATCTATATCCACAGTAAAACGAGTTATATATCAACTTAACCTGAAAGGCCACTCAGCAAGGAAGAAGCCACTGCTCCAAAACCGCCATAAAAAAGCCAGACTATGGATTGCAACTGCACATTGGGACAAAGATTGTACTTTTTGGAGAACTGTCCTCTGGTCTGATGAACCAAAAATAGCACTGTTTGGCCATAATGACCATCGTTATATTTGGAGGAAAAAGGGGGTAGCTTGCAAGCCGAAGAACACCATCCCTACCATGAAGCACAGGGGTGGCAGCATCATGCTGTGGGGGTGCTTTGCTGCAGGAGGGACTGGTGCACTTCACAAACTAGATGGCATCATGAGGAAGGAAAATTATGTGGATATATTGAAGCAACATCTCAAGACATCAGTCAGGAAGTTAAAGCTTGGTCGCAAATCTGTCTTCCAAATGGACAATGACCCCAAGCATACTTCCAAAGTTGTGGCAAAATGGCTTAAGGACAACAAAGTCAAGGTATTGGAGTGGCCATCACAAAGCCCTGACCTCAATCCTATAGAACATTTGTGGGCAGAACTGAAAAAGCGTGTGCAAGCAAGGAGGACTACAAACCTGTCTCAGTTACACCAGCTCTGTCAGGAAGAATGGGCCACAATTCACCAAACTTATTGTGGGAAGCTTGTGGAAGGCTACCCGAAATGTTTGACCCAAGTTAAACAATTTAAAGGCAATGCTACCAAACACTAATAGAGTGTATGTAAACTTCTGACCCACTGGGAATGTGATGAAAGAAATAAAAGCTGAAATAAATTATTCTCTCTACTATTATTCTGACATTTCACATTCTTAAAATAAAGTGGTGATCCTAAGTGACCTAAGACAGGGAAGTTTTACTAGGATTAAATGTCAGGAATTGTGAAAAACTGAGTTTAAATGTATTTGGCTAAGGTGTATGTAAACTTCCGACTTCAACTGTAAATATTGTATTATAAATTGTGCCTTCCAGTATTATACTTATGCTACAATGTTTATTCTATTGTACTGAGCCATTTACTTTATGTTCGTATTCTAATCTTTTATTGTTTCTTATTGTTGTTGCATAATCGAGAAGGAACCTGCAAGTAAGAATTTCTTTGGACGGTGTACATGTGTATCCTGTACATACAAAACTTGAAACTAAACAATTATTACGTGTTCCATAGCAAGCTTCTCTATCCGTGCTAATTGGTAGAGTAAATTAATGAGCTATTTTGTCAAAACTGTAGATTTCACAGGCTTTAAAAAAAGAAGGAAAAGGAACTATATGAACCATTATCTTTTTTTGGTTCGAACCAGTTCAGAAACTTGAACGGAACAGAAAAAATAGGGGTTCTGTTCAGAAAATAATTTAGGTTCTAACCCATGATGGAAAGTAATTATTGTGGATTTTGTAAAAAAAATAAAATGTAAATGGTCACATCACACCCGAAACTTGCTTCCATATGTTTCATATGTTATGTGTGTGTATTGTGCCTGGTGCCTGGTTCCATGGCATGGCATTGTGTGAGCGTACTAGCAGAGGAGGTTTAGCAGTGCTGTTTTTCACATGGTGTCCACTCCCAGTCCCAGCCGCCCGCCGCCTGCCCTGCAGCAGATGCCATGATAGCGGTTAGGGCCAGAGGTACACATGGCACAGGGCTCTCACAGCTAACTAGATTAGCATCTGTGGGTAATATGATGGTTAGAGACAGACAGACAGACAGACATTGCCAGAGACAGAAGGAGGAGGATGATTGGGGGTGTTATTAGGGGCTGATTGGATCAAGTGACGTGGAGAGAAAGATGGATGGAGACAATAAGGATGAAGGGGCACTTTCTAAAGAGCAGGGTGGTTCTCTGCGTCTATGGTCTGAGCATCACCACCAGTTAACTTCCTCTGTACAGGACGTACATACCATGTGTGTCATGGTTTGATGAGATAAATGGACGATGTGAGTGGTTGATAAGAGGCTGAGGAGGTTTGTAAATGGATGAGAATGGTTTGGCCTACCACCAGAGACACTTTTTCATGATACAACACTTGATAGTCAGGAAGAAGTGTCTTCTTTTGAGAACCGGAGGGAGGAGTGGGGGGGGTAGGGTCCTATACCTGTAGCCTGGCATACTGGCATGGGGAAGCATAATGATAGATTGAACCTTTTCCAATCACAATAACCATTTGGCATTTTTAGTGGTGTTGGAGTCTGTAAGCATAAATTGGTTTGCTGGAAGTTAAACTTTAACTGTTAAAAAGAAACTGATCCTGCTGTCACAAAGAGGAACACAGTTTAAATGAAAAAGGGAAGTTAATAGTTTTCTTCTGTTAGGTTAAAGTAAGGTAATCTCTCAGACTGATAAACATCACTTCATTCCCTCGTCACTTTAAAAAATAGCAGTTTGAAAGTGTTCTATGAACAATTGCCTTAGTCACAGTGTGTTATACACAGTGTGTCAAAGCTTAAACAAAAGTAATATATGCCATCTATATGCCATCATACAGTGGGGAAAAAAAGTATTTAGTCAGCCACCAATTGTGCAAGTTCTCCCACTTAAAAAGATGAGAGAGGCCTGTAATTTTCATCATAGGTACACGTCAACAATGACAGACAAAATGAGATTTTTTTTCTCCAGAAAATCACATTGTAGGATTTTTTATGAATTTATTTGCAAATTATGGTGGAAAATAAGTATTTGGTCAATAACAAAAGTTTCTCAATACTTTGTTATATACCCTTTGTTGGCAATGACACAGGTCAAACGTTTTCTGTAAGTCTTCACAAGGTTTTCACACACTGTTGCTGGTATTTTGGCCCATTCCTCCATGCAGATCTCCTCTAGAGCAGTGATGTTTTGGGGCTGTCGCTGGGCAACACAGACTTTCAACTCCCTCCAAAGATTTTCTATGGGGTTGAGACCTGGAGACTGGCTAGGCCACTCCAGGACCTTGAAATGCTTCTTACGAAGCCACTCCTTCGTTGCCCTGGCGGTGTGTTTGGGATCATTGTCATGCTGAAAGACCCAGCCACGTTTAATCTTCAATGCCCTTGCTGATGGAAGGAGGTTTTCACTCAAAATCTCATGGTACATGGCCCCATTCATTCTTTCCATTACACGGATCAGTCGTCCTGGTCCCTTTGCAGAAAAACAGCCCCAAAGCATGATGTTTCCACCCCCATGCTTCACAGTAGGTATGGTGTTCTTTGGATTCAACTCAGCATTATTTGTCCTCCAAACACGACGAGTTGAGTTTTTACCAAAAAGTTATATTTTGGTTTCATCTGACCATATGACATTCTCCCAATCCTCTTCTGGATCATCCAAATGCACTCTAGCAAACTTCAGACGGGCCTGGACATGTACTGGCTTAAGCAGGGGGACACGTCTGGCACTGCAGGATTTGAGTCCCTGGCGGCGTAGTGTGTTACTGATGGTAGGCTTTGTTACTTTGGTCCCAGCTCTCTGCAGGTCATTCACTAGGTCCCCCCGTGTGGTTCTGGGATTTTTGCTCACCGTTCTTGTGATCATTTTGACCCCACGGGGTGAGATCTTGCGTGGAGCCCCAGATCGAGGGAGATTATCAGTGGTCTTGTATGTCTTCCATTTCCTAATAATTGCTCCCACAGTTGATTTCTTCAAACCAAGCTGCTTACCTATTGCAGATTCAGTCTTCCCAGCCTGGTGCAGGTCTACAATTCTGTTTCTGGTGTCCTTTGACAGCTCTTTGGTCTTGGCCATAGTGGAGTTTGGAGTGTGACTGTTTGAGGTTGTGGACAGGTGTCTTTTATACTGATAACAAGTTCAAACAGGTGCCATTAATACAGGTAACGAGTGGAGGACAGAGGAGCCTCTTAAAGAAGAAGTTACAGGTCTGTGTGAGCCAGAAATCTTGCTTGTTTGTAGGTGACCAAATACTTATTTTCCACCATAATTTGCAAATAAATTCATAAAAAATCCTACAATGTGATTTTCTGGATTTTTTTTCTCAATTTGTCTGTCATAGTTGACGTGTACCTATGATGAAAATTACAGGCCTCTCTCATCTTTTTAAGTGGGAGAACTTGCACAATTGGTGGCTGACTAAATACTTTTTTCCCCCACTGCACTCACTCATCCATGCTCACACTCAGTGGTGTAGGAGTATTTTCACTATAACTTAAAGGCCTCTCTCTCTCTCTCTCTCTCTCTCTCTCTCTCTCTCTTTCTCTCTCTCTTTCACTCTCTCTTTCACGCTCATTTTTAATACTGCAGCTCATCTGTTTTTGTCAACACAGATGAACAATAAAACGACAGGTCCTGTCTCTCTCATACAGACACTATTCAATCATAGGAATTCCCCCTCTCTCTAATTTCCCTCTTGTAAATATTTTACACAGACCATATGACTCTGAACATAGCCCTACCATGTTATGGTTTAATAAATAAATAAAATAAGCTCTTCATGCCACCAATCACCAACAGCACATTTTTTAACCGTCTGTCTCAAAGGCGGGGCTGTGTTTTGCTAGTTGGGTGTCACGCTGGTGATTATGACTTTGAGCATTTTTTTGCTTTTAAACAGCTGTGTAACAGCACTGTAGGCTTGTATGGGAAATATTACAGTAAACGGTCACCCTCAGAGCGTACGGCAAGTAAATCCATACTGTAGCTTATAGTAAACTCCAGTCCAAATGTAGTGAACAGACGTTGTATTCTGACTGATATTTTTGAAAAAACACATTTTTAGGTTCTTCCACCATGGGCTGTGTGGGGTCCAATGAGCAGCAGGATCCCAGCAGCAAAGGAGTGGTCAATGACGACTCTCTGAACCAGACTCAGACAGGCCAGTACGTCAAAGACCCCACCACAGGGACCAAGGCTGTAAGTGAACACCGGGGGGGGGTTGGGGTGATTATGATGACGAAGATTATGATGTTGGAGGACAGAGAGAGAGAGAGAGAGAGAGAGAGAGAATTGTATAAAGAACATGGCTAGGGAAAAACTTCAGTGTGAGACAGGGTCAGTGGAAGGGACATTCTAATGAGTATGTGTAGTTGTCATTGACCTTATGTGCAGATAATTGATTTGTGAGGTGCGTTACACAAATAAGTGCTGTTCTAGCCAGTTGTTACTTATTTGCATTACTGCTAGACTCTCTGTTGCCAAGTCCAAGTGACTGATCTGTAAGTAGGTTTCCTTTGGTGTCTGGGGTGGTCATTACTTCCTGTGTGTTAATTGTAATCCCAGCTAGCACATCTGGTTCCTTGGAAGTTGTGGGAACATATGTTTTTGGTTTCATATTGGTTGTGGTAAAACTAAACGTTTTTTAATGTTCTGAGAACAGAAGTAAAAATGTTGCCTGTTATGGGAACGTTTATATTTAGATTGCAGGGATGTTCTGAGAACGTTTTACTCCAGTTTCTTGAATGTCTTCCTGGGAAGCTTTATTAACGCTCTGAGAATTAAAATTGTGGGTTATTTGGAGTTTTTTGAATGACTTCCTTAAAACTAAGGAAGTCTTCCAACAATAAGTATTTTAATAACAATGCTAGCTTATTTGGTTTAAACTTTTTTGAACTCCAAGCACAGATAGGACGCATGGACATTCCTTGGGCATTCATCATGCAAACACATTTATTTTGTATTGTAACATGGCATCAGTGAGATTCAAACCTATAATCTTCTGTTTTGTTGACGCTGAGAATGGAATGTACAGTGGCTTGCGAAAGTATTCACCCCCCTTGGCATTTTTCCTATTTTGTTGCCTTACAACCTGGAATTAAAATTGATTTTTTGGGGGGTTTGTATCATTTCATTTACACAACATGCCTACCACTTTGAAGATGCAAAATATGTTTTCTAGTGAAACAAACAAGAAATAAGACCAAAAAACTGATAACTTGAGCGTGCATAACTATTCAACCAATAAGACAACATTCCTAGAACATTACCAACATTGAAATTATATGTAACCATGTTTGAACTTTTAGGAAACGTTCTGCAAATACCAAGAAAATTGTGTTTTTCTGTCAAGTTCCTTCAATGTGCTGAGAATGTTCCAAAGCCAAGCAACTGTTCTGCACCATTCCCAGATATTTGTGAGAAGGTTGTATGCAAAATAACCATTGGACAACCAGGCTCTCACCAAGCTCTAAGAAACATATGGTTCTCAGAACGTTATGTGCTAGCTGGGATATGACTGTACACGCTGTTATTCAGAATGAGGAAGAGGAAGTAGCACAACAAACAAGTGCAGAAATTAGTTTGTGATCATTGGACAGACATTTAGTAATTGAATTGAAATGGCTCTCCTCTATTTCTGTTTTACTTACATTCCTATTTTCTATCGGTCTATCTCACTCTTGCTTACACACATCTCCTTGTCTGTCTCACTCACTTTCTCCCAACTATACTATACTACACTACAACTATAATATACTATACTATACTACATTTCCCATGGTTCTCCTCAAGACTTCAATCTCATATTGTCTTTACAGAACAGAACCATCTCCATTGCCCCTCCAGTCCCCTCTAATGGTGAGTATGACGCATAAAAGTTACAGGACTCACATTGCTTACTTGAGTCTGTGATGTAGGAACTATTACTGTGTCACACTGTATTTTGAACAGCACACCACATACTGTAAATCTAAAATGGGTTACCGTTTGTTGTCATATAATGAGGCCACTGTTATAATAGTAAAGCAGCCAGACATATTTAGTGACCCAGGCAAAGCACTGTTGTTGTATTAAGAATGTAAAGTTGCACATGAAGTCACCCACAAGTCTTTCTTTGTCATATGCGTGCATGCACATACACACGCACACCTGTACACACACACACACACACACTTGCGTTCTCTGCTCCCTCCCCCTCCAGGTCCTGAGAGCATTGCCATTGCACTGTATGACTATGAGGGTGTAAATCATGGAGACCTGGGCTTCAAGAAGGGAGACAAGCTTAGAATCTTACAGGAGTGAGTGTATCTGACATTTACACACAAACATGATGCATCCTTACCCATACATAGCAGTGTATTGAATACCTATGACCACACCTCTCACTCTTTGGGTCTCTGGTCTCTCTCTCTCTCTCTCTCTCTCTCTCTCTCTCTCTCTCTCGCTCTCTCTCGCTCTCTCTCGCTCTCATGCTCTCTCTGCAGATCTGGAGAATGGTGGAGAGCACAGTTAATTAGCACAGGCAAGGAAGGCTACATCCCAAGTAACTATGTAGCCATAGACAGCCTTGAAACCGAAGAGTAAGTATTTTATCAGTGCACTGTGTGAATAGTTTGTGAGTAGAGCTGCTCAAAGGAATCAGTGTGATATACATTTACCATCATCCAGGTGGTTCTTTAAAGGAGTGATCAGGAAAGATGCAGAGAGGCAGCTGCTGGCGTCAGGAAACAAAACAGGATCGTTCATGATCCGTGACAGTGAGACCACCAAGGGTGAGCAAGTTAAAAAGCTCTTAAACATACACACATACAAACAAACCTTTACACATTTAACGAGCTAACACCCTCTCTCCTTTCTGCTACAGGCAGCTACTCCCTATCCGTAAGGGACAGTGATTCCCAATCAGGAGACACAGTCAAGCATTACAAGATCCGTACACTGGACAACGGTGGCTTCTACATCTCCCCACGCATCACCTTCAGCACCCTGCAGGAACTGGTCAGCCACTATAAGAGTGAGTGCCAACAGCATGGCCATAATACACAGGGATACACCCATAGAGATAGATAGATAGATAGATAGAGATATCAGTTGACTATTTTAAAATGCTGGAAGCCCTCTATGGAGGTGTCATAATACCCATAAAACCTAAGGTCAAACATGGAATTTTTTCCCAAATGGAATTTTACAAACACTTAAAATAAGGTCTGTTTTGTGTAGGCTTACCCTGGCGTGACGTTTTGATAACCATGTAAATCTCTCTCGGACAAGGTGACTTTTATCAATATATTCGGCTCTATTTACTCTCAGATTCGTAAATGCTAATTAGCATCAAAGTAGACATCATGCAAGACTACAAATCCCTGCAAGCACCTGCACGTCATCTCTAGCTGACACCTTTGCTAAAAGGTATTGTGTAAAAAACCTTGCACAAGACAGTTCACAGAATTATTGACTTTTTGACAATTTATTAATTTCTAAATGTAGTTAACATTAGATAGTTAATCCAGAGATTCTTACCTTTGCCTTGATTCGGCGGTCTTGTCCAGATCATCATGGCATTTGTAGTTCTTTGTGATAGCAACATTAGCATTCCATTTTGGGGGTAAATACAGGCAAATATATTGGTAAAAGTCACCTTGTCCTAGAGAGATTTACACAGTTATTAAAACTTCACGCCAGGGTAAGCCTACACGAAACACAGCCCTTATTTTAAGTGTTTCTAAAATCCCCTTTGGGAAAAATGAATGGTAGAAAAATGACTGGAACCATTTCCTTGTTTGACCGCTAGGTTTTATGGGTATTATGACTCATACTGTGGTACTCTATGGCAATGTCCATGCAAAAATAGTTTATATCCAACTAAAGTTCTCTATCTATCTCTATGGATACAACCCAGCAGCCACTGTTACTAAAGCGGATAGTGACAGTTTGAGGTAAACAGCCCCCTCTGCTGGCTGCCTCATCTGAAATGGGCACATAGTCTATATGGCCTCCAGCAGTGTTCACTTTCTATGTGTTTATTAATGTGTGTTATGCACAGTTAAAAAATACATTCAGTTAATGTCCTGTATGATTCAGAGCTTTGTGTGTGGATGTCTTACTCTCATTGGATATGTTTGCTTCCTATAGAGCAGGGAGATGGTCTGTGCCAGGCCTTGACCAGCCCCTGCCTCAGTCCCAAGCCCCAGAAGCCCTGGGAGAAGGATGCCTGGGAGATCCCTCGGGAGTCCCTCAAACTTGACAGGAGGCTCGGGGCTGGCCAGTTCGGAGAGGTCTGGATGGGTGAGTTACTCAATCATTCTGAGAAGGTTATGTTTGGACCAATACTGGGAGATTAGAATAAGTTTATATGTATTCTGAAAACATCTTGTTTTTAGCAAGCTGTGAACTGAGCATGGCTAATGTGGTTGTCTTTGTATCTTTTGCTGTAGCTACATACAACAAGCACACCAAGGTGGCAGTGAAGACCATGAAGCCTGGCACGATGTCTGTGGAGGCTTTCCTGGACGAGGCTAACCTGATGAAGGCCCTGCAGCACGACAAGCTGGTCCGTCTGAACGCTGTGGTTACCAAAGAGGAACCCATCTACATCATCACAGAGTACATGGAAAAGGGTGTGTACACTACAGTTTGACATTTTCTATACATTAACATTACCATACAGTACATTTCCTGTCAGTGTATTTCTGTCATTGAATTCTGTTTTTGTGTGTGCATGTGTGTGTGTGTGTCTTTAGGCAGTTTGCTGGACTTCTTGAAGAGTGATGAGGGCAAACGTGTTCAGCTCCCCAAACTCATTGACTTCTGTGCACAGGTGAGATTCAGCTACCGTATCTCACAGTTAGTTAGTTTTTTCAATCACTCGTGCAATTTTCACAAGTATGTGGTACATTTTCACAACTCTAGGAACAACAATCTAAACAGATTATCAAAATGTCTCATATTTCAAAACTCTAAGCACATTTTCAATTGACTGAGTACAGCAAACAAATTCACAAAATCACTTGTTCACTGCACCAAATCACTCTGACAATTTGCATACATATTCAGTGTAAGTATCTGCTTTTCACAATGCAATATTCACCTTACTTTTTATATGATTTTCTTGTCATTTGTTAACAATATTAACTATCACTTAATAAAACTGCTCAAAACTGATAACTACTGAAGCAAAATTGTATAGTGCCTGCCTAGTTTACCTATATAGTTTGATGATTGCTGAACACTGTAAAATTCTATATTTTTCATCATAAATGTATCAATTTACATTGGAATATGTGGCTGTAAATACGACATCATCATCCTCCATCAGCCAGCTTCAATAGGACAAAGTGGAGTCACTTTATGTGCTAACATTTGAAATTATAGTGTAGTGTACAATGCACTACTGAAATACCTTGGTTGTATTTACTTTTTTTTTATCACTTTGGTACATTGTATCCAAATGGCGCCGGAGGAGATGGCTGCCGTTTTTGTAATTTATTCTGTACATAATGTTTCTGCCACCGTCTCTTATGACCAAAAAGAGCTTCTGGATATCAGGACAGCGATTACTCACCTCATATTGGACGATTTTTTCTTCAACGAGTCGGACGCAAAGGATATTCTACAGACACACGACAAGGCCCAAATCCCCGTCATTCGCATGAGAAAGAGACGTAGATATCGTGGACATAGGTCGGGGTGCCTTGTAAGGATCCGACAGTGAGCGAGTAATCTGCCTCTTCCATCAATTCTATTAGCCAACGTACAATAATTTGAAAACAAAATGGACGACCTAAGATCAAGGATATCCTACCTACAGGACGATAAAAACTGTAATATCTTATGTTTCACTGAGTCGTGGCTGAACGACGACATGGATAACATACAGCTGGTGGGATATACGCTACATCGGCAGGATAGAACGGTCCGGTAAGACAAGGGGTGGCGGTCTGTGTATATTTGTAAACAACAGCTGGTGCATAAAATCTAATACTAAGGAAGTCTCAAGGTTTTGCTCGCCTGAGGTAGAGTATCTCATGATAAGCTGTAGACCTCACTATTTACCAAGAGAGTTTTCTTCTATATTTTTCGTAGCTGTCTATTTACCACCACAAACCGATGCTGGCACTAAGATTGCACTCAATGAGCTGTATAAGGCCATAAGCAAACAGGAAAATGTTCATCCAGAGGCAGCGCTCCTAGTGGCCGGGGACTTTAATGCAGGGAAACTTAAATCCGTTCTACTTAATTTCTAATGTGCAACTCTAGACCACCTTTACTCCACACACAGAGACGCGTACAAAGCTCTCCCTCGCTCTCCATTTGGCAAATCTGACCATAATTCTATCCTCCTTATTCATGCTTATAAGCAAAAACTAAAGCAGGAAGCAACAGTGACTCGGTTAATAAGGAAGTGGTCAGATGACGCAGATGCTAAGCTACAGGACTGTTTTGCTAGCACAGACTGGAATATGTTCCGGGATTCTTCCGATGGCATTGAGGAGTACACCACATCAGTCACTGTCTTCATCAATAAGTGCATCGATGACGTCGTCCCCACAGTGACCGTACATACATACCCCAACCAGAAGCCATGGATTACAGGCAACATCCGCACTGAGCTAAAGTGTAGAGCTGCCGCTTTCAAGGAGTGGGACTCTAACCCGGACGCTTATAAGAAATCCCGCTATGCCCTTCAACGAACCATCAAACAGGCAAAGAGTCAATACAGGACTAAAATTGAATCGTACTACACCGGCTCCGACACTCGTCGGATGTGGCAGGGCTTGCAAACTATTACAGACTACAAAAGGAAGCACAGCCGTGAACTGCCCAGTGACACAAGCCTACCAGACGAGCTAAATCACTTCTATGCTCGCTTCGAGGCAAGCAACACTGAAACATGCATGAGAGCATCAGCTGTTCCGGATGACTATGTGATCACGCTCTCCATTGCCGATGTGAGTAAGACTTTTAAGCAGGTCAACATTCACAAGGTCACAGGGCCAGACGGATTATCAGGACGTGTACTCTGAGCATGTGCTGACCAACTGGCAAGTGTCTTCACTGATATTTTCAACATGTTCCTGACTGAGTCTGTAATACCAACATGTTTCAAGCAGACCACCATAGTCCCTGTGCCCAAGAACACTAAGATAACCTGCCTAAATGACTACCGACCCGTAGCACTTACATCTGTAGCCATGATGTGCTTTGAAAGGCTGGTCATGGCTAACATCAACACCACTATCCCAGAACCAGAAACCCTAGACCCACTCCAATTTGCATACCAACCCAACAGATCCACAGATGATGCAATCTCTATTGCACTCCACACTGCCCTTTCCCACCTGGACAAGAGGAACACCTACGTGAGAATGCTATTCATTGACTACAGCTCAGCGATCAACACCATAGTGCACTCAAAGCTCATCACTAAGCTAAGGACCCTGGGACTAAACACCTCCCTCTGCAACTGGATCCTGGACTTCCTGACGGGCCTCCCCAGGTGGTAAGGGTAGGTAACAACACATCTGCCACGCTGATCCTCAACACGAGGGCCCCTCAGGGGTGCGTGCTCAGTCCCCTCCTGTACTCCCTGTTCACCCATGACTGCATGGCCAGACACGACTCCAACACCATCATTAAGTTTGCCAATGACACAACAATGGTAGGCCTGATCACCGACAACGATGAGACAGCCTATAGGGAGGAGGTCAGAGACCTGGCTGTGTGGTGCCAGGATAACAACCTCTCCCTCAACATGATCAAGACAAAGGAGATGATTGTGGACTACAGGGAAAAAAAGAGGACTGAGCATGCCCCCATTCTCATCGATGGGGCTGTAGTGGAACAGGTTGAGAGCTTCAAGTTCCTTGGTGTCCACATCACCAACAAACTATCATGGTCCAAACACACCAAGACAGTCGTGAAGAGGGCACGACAAAGCCTATTCCCCCTCAGGAGACTGAAAAGATTTGGCGTGGGTCCTCGAGAGCATCCTGACTGGTTGCATCACCGCCTGGTATGGAAACTGCTCGGCCTCTGACTGCAAGGCACTACAGAAGGTAGTGCGTACGGCCCAGTACATCACTGGGGCCAAGCTTCCTGCCATCCAGGACCTCTATACCAGGCAGTGTCAAAGACTCCAGCCACCCTAGTCATAGACTGTTCTCTCTGCTACCACACGTCAAGCGGTACCGGAGCGCCAAGTCTAGGTCCAAAGGCTTCTTAACAGCTCCTACCCCAAGCCATAAGACTCCTGAACAGCTAATCATGGCTACCTGGACTATTTGCATTGCTCTGTCCGGCTTTCAATTTACTCTTGAAAGTTGTAATAGTAGAATTCACAAGGTGCAATTTCGAAATTGGATAGTGAATCATCAGTTTTCCTCTTGTCATGTCAGTCATTGCATACCTTAGAGAGCTATTTATAACTTGTCAGAAATGTTTTTTAGCTTGGTTTTTTAGCTGATAGATTTTGTAGCAATGTTCGATTTTGTAGCAATGTTCGAGTCACTCAAATACACATTAGACATGGCAACATTTATATAATTGCAGGAAACAAGCTTTAAACCTGCAAAATGTTCTCTCCGCCAACCGTAGGCGGTCGTAACGCCTACGGGCGCCTATGGGCGGTACAGATATCACTTAGGCCTATTATGGATATTTACATATCAATTGTGTGAATCACACTGCTGCTCTCTCAATTATTCGCGCCTTCCAGATTGTGGTTGTTGTGGATGGCCTTTCCCCAAATGTATAGGTGTATTTAACCCCAATAATGGTTGAATTGAAGAAGTGTAGGCTAAGCTGCCTATCAATCATTGTTTATGCGACCTGTGGACAGCCAGTGAAAAATGTGCTCTTGCAACAGCTGCATAGTAGTGCGGATACCAGCCTATGGAATAAAAGTTATCCGTGGTATTGTGCTCCATACTGTCAAAAATTTGTTTAATTTAAGAAGACTACGAGTAGGGCTTTTATTGCTCAATCTAATTTGTGCTGATTAAAAAAAAACAGGTCACACTTTATTTGGATTTTTCATCTGTAGATGTTCTGCAGATGGTCATACTATCAACAAACTGTAGATAAGCAACTGCTTGCTAATGTTCCAGTTAAAGCCAATTTATGGTCATTCTGGCATCTGCATTGGCCGTACAGCATTTACTGCGATGCGGCCTCTGCAGAGGTCAGGGCATTCATACTTCTTGCGCTTCGCGGAGCAGAGCAGAGCTGTTGTAAACGAAGTTGTCAAGGAAATAAGTTTGTGTTTATTCAGGATGCACCGCACTCACCTACCGTCAACCAATCATGTCAATGAAGACTTATACAGAGCTATACGGAGCCCTCCGCATTGTTATGAACATAATAAAGGGGGCATTACACATCTTATCAGTGTACTTAAGAGTTTAGAAAATATACCAGGTCTGAAAAATGCGCCAAAGTGATTGATAAAAACTGTAACAATATATTCCACTCATTATCTGAATTTCATTGATACACTGTAAGCTGATTAATTTTGTCAAGCAGAGAGAGACAGGTTATACTGTACCAGTTGCCAAGTCACATAGAAAAGGTTATCTTCAACAACAATGTTGCATGGGGTAGAAATGGTATACGCACACCGTGCTACACCAATGCTACACCAATATGTTTTTACTGTAGCCTACTGCTTTACAATACCCCCAGAATTCCTCTATTTCTGATGATTTGTTCTACGTATGTACTGTATAAGGATAATGAAACTGTAAAATTGACATATTTCTCACATCCTGCCATTAGATACAAAATTACAGCCGAACTTATGAACTTATGCTGTGAGTA